AAAAGGCACGATACTTGACTAGATAAACGACTATGAACTTCTGAAGAAGAATTCTGTTTCGCGAAATTGTTCAGATCGTGTATGTGTATTTCATGTTCTCGTATACTTAACCGAAATGTACTCTTACTGGTTTCTTCAGGATGGAAAGAGATGCAGGGATGGTATGGAGCAATGCACGTGCTACATCATCATGACGAAAACTGAACACCGTGACTTGGAACCGATCCATAGTCGGGAATATAATATGAAGATTAGAAAGTTTATGTACCCGTACTGATATTGCAGCGTGCAAATCTATGGCTCATAAAATATAGAGGTTTTGTTGTTACTGTGATGATTCTCCTTACTGCATAATTCCAGATATATACACAACAAACACACAAATAAGCAAAGTAAGCATAAAGCAGGCTTTATAAATTTAGTAATGCTTTCGATTTAGTGGCAACACCACATGCAGTTCTTGCACTTTCGAACTGTAACGTGGAGAGACAACGTGTTGTTGGAAACACTGAAATCTGCGGATCGCCATTCTTGTTTTGGGGATCTTAAAAATTTGAGCATTTTAAGACAGTGACCATTAAATTTTATAAAAATAATCTCTAAATAATGTGTGGCTTGCTAGTTGATTAGTAGCGGCCTCCTGATGTTAGGCTCCGATTTTCTCATTATGACGATTTGCCAATAAAGAAACAGTTCCAGGAATCTTTACCCACTAACGCGAATGAAACAGAACAATATTACTCGTACTCAAGCCCTCACTAATATATCAATAATCCAGAGAAGCCAGTCAAAAGTACTTTGAATTATATCAAATGCACCCTGGTATGTAAGCAACCAAACGTTACATACAGATCTAAATATACCTTACATCAAAGACGTCATCAGAGAACAAAAAGTACCACACACACCACAACAAACCAGCAAATCACCCTAACGACATACTACAGCCACTCGTTGAACCGCAGTACAATCGAAGACTCCGAAGATACTGGGCAGCTGACGTAAAAGAAAACTAAGAGGAACCTCCCACTGGAGAAGGGACTCATCACGTCATTTAAGAGCGTCACAGCTCTTACGCCAGCAAACTGCCTTATAGAATTGTACATTCTGATTGTTTAATAAATAAATAAAAAATAAAAGCCCTCACTGGCATGTGGTGTGAACCACGTCTGAATGTTGCTGTCACTATAATTGTATGTCTTGCTCATTAGCAGACCGCTCTCGCTAATGTACATATTCTGGGCGTACTTTGTTAGAAGAAAAAACAGTTTTCAAACATTATTCAGTTGAGCCTCTGCACCGCATCATATCTCACGAAGACTGTCTCCAACTTACAATTCACCACGTTCTACAATTTAAAACCTGATCTTTTAAGAACAAAACAAATTTGAACACTGTTTAACCGAAAGCTGAAGCACGTTCACAAAGTGAACAGAAGTACATATCGGTCGAGGTTTTCTATTTTTTTATGGTTTATTTATAGTCTGTGTTGGTACCTTAGGCTATACCGCGTCTAATAATACGATGATTAGTGAATGTACCACCGCCGGCACCACCAACTAACGCCGCGGAGAATGAGCCTTCTTATTCGCCGTTAAAGCAATGCAAAGATCAATTACCGCGTTCATAAGAGCCATTTTCTGGACCCTATCCTCAGCCAGTTGAATCCAATTAATACCCATACAGGCTCTATTTCTTTAAGATTAATTTTTCTAGCCAACATCAACGTTTATGTCTTCAAAGCGGTCTCTTCTCTTGACATTTTCCGGCTCAAGTTTTGTGTTCACTACTTATTTCGCCATTAGTGATATATGTTTCTTATCATTTCATTGTCCTTCATTTGATAGCTCTAAAAATATCTGTTGAAGAATACAAAATATTCATTCTCTCATTCATCTTATCATTATGCAACATTCTCCGTGTTCCTGTAATTTTCTCAGACACACACACATAGACAGCAAGGTGATCTCATAAGCCTCCTTTTACTTTCTCAAAGTAATGAAAGCAGGCTAGAAACGAACAGACCACAGAGAACTATTTGCTACATACCAATTCAGAACATCTTAAAAACTGTCGTTGTTAGGCATATCAATTTTTATCTCTTTATAAAGATATTAAGAATTTTTAACGAGAAAGTATAGGGGATAAATTTACGCACATATTCCTTTCTGACAGTATGGAAACGTACTCGGCACTGGCATTTTCATGGGTTTGCAACAGTAAATTGCAAAAATGCGTTAGTCTGTGTGTCCGCATGTACTAACTAGAGATCCGCTAAAGGGATCTTCGTGGAATTTCATATTGGGAAGTTTCAAATGAAGTTCGACTCATTCCACACAGTTGTATATTTGTTTTGTTTGGGTTATTTAACGATGCTTTCGAGACTATATCGCGTAGGACGGGAGATAGATAAAGAAATGGATAGGATTTCGAAGAAATTAGTCCTGACCTAATCGAGGGTGTCGAAAATGGCATTACGTCTATAGTATGTTGCCTTAACAGTAACATTCTAGGAGGATCTAGACTCGAGCTAGAACAACCTGGGAAACATTGGTGACACTTCCTCCATACAGTCTGCAACATAATTCCATCCAAGGCACGTGTCTATGACAATTATGGAGATACGAAAAATGCACGCAAAGCAATGAAGTGCAGTGTGCATAGGCCTAGTAAGGAGCTGGGAACGTTGAAAGGAATTGAGATCACTGAACGATAGGATTTTATACAAAGTCAAACATAAAACGATATTACCTCTGTTACTAAACTGTAGCCTTGACTGAGACTTAAATACATGTACAAGGTGCGACAATTTAATTGCAGGAATGATCCTGTGAAAGCAAAATTTACTTATCTGTGCGCTAGCGGCTTCTGTCGCCTTTGAAATACTCTCCTTGTGAAGCTATGCACTTCGTGAATACCTCGCAGTAACGCTGTCACACTGGTTCTATGTCAGGAATGTCAGCAAATCTTTGTCCATTCAGGGCATTTCTTACTTTTGGAAAGAGCCAAAAAATCGCAGAAGTCTAAGTCAGGTGAATAAAGTGGATGGTCCATTTTTGTAATGGATTTCTTAGCCAGGAACTCGAGAACTCTTAACGCATCATGCGCAGGCGCACTGTCGTGGTGAAGAATCCATTTGCCAGGAGAGATTTCGGGTCTTTTTCTCCGAACAGATTCCTGTAACTTCGTCAGCACTTTCAAATAACACTGTCGATTCGCCGTTTCTTCGTACTCTGTCCACATTTGCATTTTTCCTTTGCGTTTTTGGCTGCCCACTTCTTGGGTCTTCTCGCACATGTCGCCCCTCCTTGAACTGCCTGTGACATTTAAACACAATCGGTTTCTTCATAGCATATTGACCATAAGCCACGTTATATGGCTAACGTTTCATTAGAACTTTTACCAATCTTCACACAAAACTCGATTTTTATCCATTGCTCCAGATTCGTGTCCCTCGTTTTTCCGCCAACAGTATACCACGGACACGTACTACTTCCTCTTATGCTCATTTGGTCTGTGGCTCAGGTAAACGCAAGTTGGAGCATGTCCAAACGTGCTTGGGTACATGAGTTTGCCTGATTCGACAACCCAGTGATATGCTGCAGCCATTCCGGAAATCAAATTTTCACATGTAAATCCTTGCTAGGTAACGGCTTGTTGAAACACGTTGCTAGGCAACACATAAAGAAACGCTTCCGTTACAACGGATACGTAAAGGTTGTTCACACAGCAACGAAAGACGAATACACGAAGTAGGAACCCTTGGAGACGGTGGTCTCTATAGGGTTCGACCTAAACCTACCTCAGGGAAAGAAAGACTACAAGTTACTTTAGAGTCTTACCGAGGAGTAGAAGCCAAGTCCGAGAACAAGAGATTGGGTACAGACCTACACCCACAATTCGTACAAGAGCATGTAAGAGTGGAAGTGTTGAAAACTTTGTGTGTTATTTTTCCAGTAACCTTTTGAAGTGTTGTCAGTTTTTGTAGATCCGCCTGGTGACTGTCCAATAAATCGATTCATCAGTCCAGAGAACCCATTAATTACTAATCGCGTTACCAGCATACGTGACAATTATATGCACGCACAAACACGCACATATATGTCTATATAAATAAAAATACATATGCACGCGCGGTACGTGCATGTATGTACAAGTGCGCGTGATATGTATACTTTAACTTTACTTTAACTCAGATTCCTCTTCCGATGAGGTGAGGTCTCATTTTAGTCAAAGTATTCCTAAAATTATGGTTTACACACGATTCTGGATACTTCTTGTACTAGAACTGGGGGTTTCAAAGCTTATGGCCTAAGTAACATTGCTGCTGTACTGAAGCCGCGGAGAGAAGCCCCATAAATGGTGGGGATGAAGGCTCTCGACGCTTTCCCCTCTCTGTTCCCCTTTCCTGTTACATTCCATTTCCCTGTCCCCGGGATAGCGCAGTCGGTATAACGACTGCGCTACGGGCTGGAAGTCAGAGGGGCCGGAGTTCGAGTCCCGGTAAGATCAAGAATTGTCTCTTCTCCATATCGTCCAGACCGGTTCTGGGGCCCATCCAGCCTATCCAATGGGTACCGGGGACTCTTTCCCTGGTGGTAAAGCGGCAGGGGCCTGAAGCTGACCATTCATATCCAACTAGTGCCGAAATCAAGAAAACATGGATCTATACATCCACTCCCCCATACGCCTTCATTGCGTAATGCTTAACCAGTTAAGCACAGGCGCAACTTTATCCCATGTCATACAGCACCAAACGCTTGTCGCTAGCTTTCATGTGAACAGAATGCTTACACGACTGGAGGGGAATTAGGGAGGTATGGTACAGAGGGAAGCGTTAAGAGTTCAGAAGAGACATTGAGGGGAAGAGCCATGCGACTTCTTTTAGTGGCCTAAGTATAGGCGTACGTGTGACTCGATAATCGTTTTCACTATTCGTAACTAAAGTGAAAACATGGAATGGACTGCCAAGAATTTGTCTAAAGTGGCATCATACTTACAAAGAACACGAAATTGAACAGGCAGAGCAGGTACTTAGCCAGTGAAGTACCACAGTCGTAAGGCATTTCTTGATATCTGCGTCTTCCGTGTAACCTGTTGTAGTCCTTCATGAAAATACTACGGTCTGTAAAAATGCAATAAAACATATATTTAGTTTCTCATCTTTACATCCATTAAACAATTTAAATCGCATGACCAAACATACAAGCGACAGTGGGATGTGGGTAAGCCTACATTGAAGGGTGGTGGGCCTACTATGTCTTGATAAGGCATATGAAACGCATGACGCGATGTTCTGAAACTTCCAAATACGAATGTCGCGTTACAGTCCAATGTAGTATACATATGCACCAATTATTAGTCTGTTTTTATGTCGCATCAGGAGCGCCGGTTTGTAAGCCAAGCATCTGCTCCCTCTCCCGGGATTTTTGGAAGAAAATAAAAATTGAAAATTAAGGAAACATTCCAAATATCGATACAAAAAATTAAATTTGATTTTTAAAATTATTCTTCTATCATGAATACTTCAGGGCGACCGATCAACATGGCTTACAAGTATGTGTGGAAGCAAATTTTCTGGCTAGCTCCCACCTCCCGGTAAAAAAAAATCGTGGTGTAGTCCGAGGTGTTTACTACAAATACAAATCGACGATTAGCTACGTAAAGCGGAACATTTTTCCCCAACTGTTTCCACATCTGCTGGACCTATACCGCCAGTGTTCGGCCACATTAAATTACACAAAAACTCGCGGAATACGCGCATGTAATGCTAGCCGCCCAAATTAATAAGTTAGATCCTGATTACTGCAAGACTGCCTTTGCTACCTAGAGAAGCAAGAAATAAAGCGGACGAGAAATCAGAAAAACTTTCAGTTTCTTAGCGCACTTTTGGGTATAAATCGCATTCATTATGCTGCTGTATTTCACTCGAGATAAAACACAGACTTTATAACATACGCAAATGCTGATACAGGAGAAATGTATACCGTTATGAAACACTGGCTGAAAAGTTGTTTTGAAACGACATAAACTGCTATTTTATTTTTGCCACATAAAATTTCACTACTCTCGTAAAGTCCCTACCATCACTATAAACCTAAAATTCGAAGTGTGCGGCATTAACCAGTAAGTAATAACAGGAAGCCGGTTCTAAACCCATTCCCTTCACGATTTTCTGTAAGCCCTTTTCATTAAGTAGATGATGCGGTGTAAGAAAACAGAGAACCACATATCTTATTTTTATGTATATGGCTTCTTCTTTTATAGTTGGCATGAATAAGTTCTTAATATTTTATGTAAATCATTTGATCTTTAACTAAACAACCAAATCCTTGGAGCAGAGTCCTTCTTGAGAAGCTGACACAAAATCCTACTGCTGTATGATTTCCTGAGACACCCTCACACCCTCTTTCTGTAAGATCCACTTTAATATTATTCTCCTCTCTATGTGTAAGATCTCTCAGTTGATCTTTTCCAGCTGAACTACTGTATTACTTTATCTCCTCGCATGTCCAGTTCGTGCTTCTTGATGTGATTGCTTCATAAAATTTGGTGCTTGACTGAATTTTGGGTTACTAACTGGGTTGTATGACGACTTACGTTCTGTGTAAGATTTGAGGCTTTCACGACGGTGACTATGAAGAAAGCAGTCTTCTGGGATTTGGCACCGTGTATATGTGGTGTTAACCGACGTTTCGGAGGAAAGCAGACTGCTTTTACCGGTTCTCACGGTCTCTTTGCTTGCAGATTTCTTATATATTATTTCTTCTACCCTGAAGATGGAGGCGATACGTTCCTCCGAAACGTCGGTTAACACCACATATACACGGTGCCAAATCCCAGAAGACTGCTTTCTTCGACTTACGTTCTGTCACTATTATACCTATGAATGTGATCATTTGTTTGTCTCGCCGTCGTGGCCCAGCAACGGGTCTACATGCCACAATATAAATTTCCAACTAATTTTGAAATGGTCTAGTGATGGCACTCATGACTTGCCGAAATGAGTAACCAGGGTATTACGAGTGCTAGTGTGTTGTTACTGTCGGAAACAAATGTAAGTCTGTATTGTTACGAACTGTGCATACTTTTTTTTTTCCTTGGCACTACAGCCCCAGTGAGCCTAGGCCTACCTCCATGAACTTCTCCGTTCACTTCGGTTTTTCTAGATCTTACACAATCGGTAGGACTCCTTGGACGGGTGATCGGCTCGTCGCAAGGCCTCTACCTGTACACAAACACAAACACGTTCTGGAAAACTGATGGACCTAAATTAAGTGGTAGTGGTCGATTTCATTTGGTCAGCTCCAAATTTTATGTGAATCCTCTCGTGCATTACAATAAATCTGGCCTTTAAAAGTCTGAAAACCGCAAACAATTCATACCACTCTACTGTAGAAATATTTCTACACAAAAATATGCTGAAACAACCACGTGAAATGAATTTGTTGGCGATATTATCATCCCTCATTTTATCCAACACAGACTATTAAGAACTTCATTATAATTAATTACACTTTTCTGCTCATATCAATTATCACGCAAAATTTACATGTAACAAGATTGTCTTTCTGTAAACTAGTACGAGAAGCCTCTAATTGCGAATAGAACTAATTAATACGTATAAAATGCTGAACCACTAAAACAGAAGTGTCATTTAAACTAACAGGCCTATGATAATTTTCATACAAACTAATATGATCTTAACGAAAATCATTTTCGGAAAATCGCTATGCCAGTGCAAATATATTTGAATTTGAATTACATAGTCAAATGATTCTACATTCTAAGAATCTCTCCTCTGTGGGCATTTAAAACTTGTAATAATTTCCCACTCCCGGACTCCGTGACAAGCTCTCTCATAGAACCATTGTGCTCAGTGCATCAGAAAATTAGATTACTCCGCCTGTGGGAAAGTTTACAGATGTCCTTGAACTCTGCTACGAGAGTTTATTAGCATCGGGTGAACAATGAATAAAAACGGAATTTAACATCCAAGTTATTTTATGGAGCGGTGCGTTCACGTAAATTCGGAACACCTCCAGTGAGAATCCAAAACAGGATATTCACACTATGATTTTGAGCTGCTAATTTAAATTAAATTAAAACGCGGAGATGATGTTCATTAATGCACTCATAATATCAATCGAGAACCCATGCCCTCAACAATGGAAGGTAGAATTAAAATTAACTACAGAGAACCTCACCATTACAACACATTTGCACTGTCAATATTTCAGTTTTCAAATAACCCACACACATGCTGCGAGGATACTAAATTATATAGAGTAAGTGTGCACAGTGCCGGTCATGGTAGCCGTGCATGTACTGTCTTCGCTCGCTTGGAAACCGGGAACGTAGGTTCGAATCCTACTCAGAGCATGGATGTTTAGTTTGTGTGTGTGTGTGTGCGTGTTTTTCTGTGTTTGTGTACAGGTAGAGGCCTTGCGACGAGCTGATCCCCGCCCAAGGAGTCCTACCGAATGTGTAAGATGTAGAAAAACCGAAGTGAACAGAGAAGTTCATGGAGGTAGGCCTAGGCGCACTGGGGCTGTAGTGCCAAGGAAAAGAAATAAGTGTGCACTTACATTTGTTTCCGACAGTAACAACACACTAGCACTCGTAATACCCTGGTTACTCATTTCGGCAAGTCATGAGTGCCATCACTAGACCATTTCAAAATTAGTTGGAAATTTATATTGTGGCATGTAGACCCGTTGCTGGGCCACTACGGCGAGATAAGCAAATATACAACAGCCGTTAATTAAGTAACGGTTTCACAAACAAGCGTGTTTCCACGGCAACAATTGGATACAGTAACAGAGGAAAGGTGCTTTTTGTGCGGTCCGTGTATAGGTGTTTTAAGCAGGACAGTTATTGAAGTCAGTTGCGTGAAGTGAAGAGTAGTTGGTTAGTGAGTGAGTTAGTTAGTTAGAGCACTGCTGAGGTTCAGTCGTTGTGAGCTGTTGCTGTGAGAGGCTGGTAGCTGATGCCGGGGACAGTTCGGTAATCAAGAGTAAGGGTAATGTCCGCCGTTGGAAGCCGCTACCGAGCAACGGCTTGTGAAAACTTGACTGTGGACACTAGTGTATGTGTGTGTAATAGTGAATTGTAAATATACTATATAAATGTAGATTGATGCCCACGGAAATAAACAGGTATAGATCATTATTGTAATCAATGAACACACTGGTATGCTACAGCTGAAGCGGTTCGAAATATATGTTAATTCGTGGCACGACAGTCTAAATTCGCCATGAAACTAGGTACGTGTGGAATTTACAATGTCATATACCGCAGAATTGGGTATGTTTACTCTACACCACAGATATTTAAACACATCGCTGATGTTCTGAACTATGTATTCGTGTGTCTGAGGTATGAACTGTCTTGGTCCGCTCAAGCACCGTGATCATGAGTTCGAATCCCACCGGAGGCATATTGTCCTGAATGCAGATAGCGGACTTGCGTTGGCCTTATCCCCGTTCAAGGAGTCCTACTAACATTCTACAGCAGAGGTTCCGAAAGTGTGGGACGCGTCCCATATGAAGGTGTGTACGAGTGGTTTTCTGGGAAGGGGGCGCGTGTTTGTACTCGTATGATAACCTATTTTTGAAAAAAATATGTGGAAACAATGTTAAAATCCTTTGTTTCGTTGAGGTGGTTTAGTTCAAACTCGTACAGCATAGGCGGTTTTAGGAAGGAAACGACGGTAGGGACTCAACTTCGCGGCTGTATGATAGCAAATTCACCGTCAAAACCAACTCACTCTATACTGTTGTACTGTTGTTAAGGGTACGAGAAAGTTGCTCAGTCCCTCAAGTTGAACACTTCCACCCCTAACTTTCTCCGCCCTCTAGGGCCGAATAGCTGAGTCTCGAGCAATACAACTGTTGTGAAGTCGTCTTATTCATTGTTAGTGTGTTACTGAGTAAAGAACTGTAGATATTCTTCAATGACAGACTTGGGCGTGTAAGACGTAGAAATGCTTCAGTGACAGAATGCGATGTGTTAACATGCAACATTTTAGTTCCGTAGTGTACAGACTTAGGACATATATCCCGTAATATTTACTACATGCGATCATTAAAGGATCGCCTCTGTGGTCTAGTGGTCAGAGTTCCT